GTTCTGTGAACCCTCAGTACGTGGTACCCAAAGAAAAGCAACCTTCCTGCCCCAGATACAGGGCACTCAACCCAAGCAGCCAGAGCAGCAGCTGCGTGTTGAAGCTGGAGGAGGAAGGAAACTTGGCTTACAGTGAAGCAAGTGTGGTCGCGGGTAACAGAAACTTGTTGTGCATCAAGCTGTAGTGACACCGTAGTCCTACCCAGCAGGCTGCTGCACATCAAGGGTTCATCAGCCCGTGGCCCGTGCTGCGCTGCAGGTATCCCTTGACTCTGGATAGATGTGCCCGGCTAACGCGAACGGAGGGCTCTGACGGTGGCTCCCAGCAATGACACCACTGCTGCCTCCTTGCCCTTACCTTGAAGCCGAGCAGCACGTTTTCATCTAAACATCCTTTTTCTTGATGGTGGAAATGATGGAGTTCTTCACTTCGAGGAGACCCCTACAAAAACTGTAAAGCCCGCAGTGCCGGGTAACCTCGGTGCGGGCTCTGCACAGTGTGCCATGCCCAGACCAGAGACCTGCCGCCTGCTGAGGTCACCTATGCTGTTCCCTGGTTCCTCCTCGTGTTATCTCCCGTAAACGATATTTTAACCCTTTAATTTTAACCTTACAGAGCCGAGCACCTTTCTTGCTGGGGTCTACAGAGAACACTTGTGCTGGGGCGCTGCAATTGGCTTAGCTGGCAGAGCCCTGGTGAGAAACGGCTTTTTGGGAAGGGACAGTGAGGCAAGGACAGGGCGGGTGCCCAGCTGGCCCCACACACACGCTAAGGGACTTTTACGCAGTCTTAGGGCCGAGTGACCGCCCCATGAGTTGGCAAACAGGGAACTGGGTGGCCCATTCCAGCTGAAATATTAACTCATCTCCAAACGGAAAAGGAAAGGAATAGGATGGTAAAAAACACCCCTGCAGAATTGACGTAGTTGGTTGTTATTAACACGCTTTCCAAATAGTGCTGTGCAGCTTGACCAGGCAGAGTTGCAAAAGACTGAGATGCAGGAAGAGCTGGCACGGGTACCCCAGTGGTAAGAGCTGATGAAAGAGCAGGCGCTTCCGTGCCATCAGGGGGGTGGAGGGGGCAGCCACCGTCATAGCACGGGGCTGGGATCCTGCAACGTGGGACCACCAGTTAGGAACGAGCAACAGGGACCCTGGACAACCTTTCACTGTCTCTGTGTGAGACTGCATCCAGGGGGAATTGCAGACCGTGGTGGAAACTTAGTGGCAAAAAAGCAGGGGAGAAACAAGGGCAATGGCTCTACAGTAAAGTGTTGGTTTCAGCAATGTTTTCTCTTCTTTAAATAAACGTAAGTAAGAGCATGAATCTAGATATCATAATAGAGGTAACATTAAAGGAAGAAGGCAGAGATAAGTATCAGAGGACACTTGGACCTGTCTGATAACCAACCTTAACAGCTGTAGTCCAGAGAGTCTGTTACCCCTGTACAATCCATGACCTTGAGGTGCCAACACCTTCCTTGGAAAGGAAAGAAAGAAGGTGGTGCCTATGCATGAATACACCGACTGCTGATTCCAGCTAAAAGGTAAAGCTTGTCTGTTACGGAGAATGAGAGGAGATGGAGCAACTAGGTGATCGTTAAGGTCCCTTCCAACCCAAACCGTTCGATGATTCTAGGGGGGTGTGGAGGTGAGTGAACATACTGGGGGCTTCTGTGAAGGAAAATACTCCAGCTCTGGGAAAAAAGGTAACTACTGAAAAGCTTTCATTAATCTTATTTTCAACAGGTAACAGAGGAACTGAGTATCCCCAAAACTTCTGGACTGTTACCAACTTAATGCTGTTTAATCCTCTTTTGCAGAGCCCCACTGACTGCGCCAGGTTATTAAAGGGGAGAGATGGTTCCTACGGCACCCAGAGTTTCCCATTTTGTCCTCATCATTTTCATCCTGTCTTTCATCTACTCACCCTTTCACTTCCCATGGATTCACTCCAGTTGATGCATGTTTTCATAGACCTCTCGTCTTACTCAGAGGATACCTCTGCTCCTCTGAGTAACGTAAGAGGATTCAAGGGTATTTGCTCCTTTGATTTGCTGAGCCCGAGGCACAGTTGCGATCTTCACAACGGCACCTCCATGTACCACAGGCTCCTGGCGTTGTCATTTTATGGCACACAATCCACCACAGCCTTCAGTTGTCAGCTGGGGAGCCTTCCACCCGAAGTCCATCTCTCACTAGCACCCAGAATCATAGAATCCCAGAGTGGTTTGGGTTGGAAGGGACCTTACAGACCATCCAGTTCCAACCCCCCTGCCATGGGCAGGGACACCTTCCACTAGACCAGGTTGCTCAAAGCCTCATCCAGCCTGGCCTTGGACACTTCCAGGGATGGGGCATCCACAGCTTCTCTGGGCAACCTGTGCCAGTGCCTCACCACCCTCTCCACGAGGAATTTTGAACTTTTACATCGCCACTGATGAAAAAACCCACTTAACGTCGTGTTCCCTCACTGCTTAGATGTGAAGGCAGCCCCCAGCATCACCCACATACAGCTGATGAGCCAACGCCCCGAGCCAGCCTGGCCTTATGGCGGTCAGTCCCATTCCCACAAGCTTTGATTCCATGGTATGTTGAGTGAGTTAGTAATAAACCTAAACTTCCTTCATTCTGAGGCTGACAGCTCTGAAAACAAGTGCCAGGCTAACCTCAGCATTTCAGTTATTTATGCACCACCAGCAGCTCCATGATGAGATCCCCTAGAGAGCAGTAAAGCTCTCCCTTCTAGAAAATTCAGTGAACAGGTTTGGGAAGTATTAGACACACGGGAACTCACCCAAAAAGAACGTACAAGAAACACAGTAATGCTTTTGCAATTCTTGAGTTTAATTACTTCAGCGTGTGGGTTGTTGTTGCTATTCAGCCTTCCCCTTTCCACTGCAATCTTTCTTAGGAAACTTGCATAAAACAAACACTTTTCCTAGACCAGTACATAAACCAGACACAGATACACATGGTTTTATTTGCAGTTTTCTTAAGCCTCAGTTTCCTAACTTCTTAAGAGAGAAAGTGTATTAAAAAACTATTATGCAATCAGATCAGAGATCTGATGGTGAGATGCACTGAGACCAGAGGACTCCATGATGGAAGAACATGACAGTAATTCATAACAGGAACTCCACTACAGTCTAACCAGTTCACCAACTGAGTTACAGAACATCAGCCTCTCAAAGCAATTCATTGTCTGCACTGTGCTGTCAAAACAAGTCTGTTTTTTTACTGTTTCACTCTTGGCAAAACTGAGGCCTTTGGGAAGAAATGAAATAAAAGCAGAACCCAATACAGAGATGCAATTCATTCATTTCCCCTTTAGCTCATGAAAACTTGGAACTATTCAGCCCTTTGTCTCTACAAGTAAGCAAAAGAAAGACTAGAAAAGGCTAGAATAGGACATACTTGACAAAAGACAATTCAAAGGATCCAAACAAGAAGGGCCATGAGGTAAGGAACGGTTACAGAAGTGCGGGAATAAAACAACACTGGGAAGTCGGTACACACATACACAGAGTAGCAAGATCCTCCTCTGCAACTCAGACTTGACGACGAAGCACAAACCAGCAGAGGTAACACGCATTACCTAGTAGCCTGTAGGATATCAGATTAACTTGGGCTCCTGAATATATAAGTTCTCAAAACTTACTCGTTCAGAAACTTCAGAGAGAACAACGCCTGTAGGTAGCCTGAACTCCTAAAAGTGAAAGAAACTTCAAATAACTGCGCCGGTAGGAAATATAATGTGATATTATACAACAGGTTTTCTACCTGCCTCCCAGCCTCCTCCAGCCCCAGCAGTCCGGTATCACTACAACAGATTTCAGGCTTGGGAGGTCTAGTGGCACATTGTTACAAACTTGGTGTCAGCGAAGGAGAACTTGCTATTCCGCCGATGCCAGGGCTGATGTCTGCATTACAGCTGCTCAAAAGTCAGGAAAACGGTGTAGAAAGAAATTTTGGGGAAGATTTTTTGATTAAGCAGACACTAGTTTTTGTAATTCACTGTCAAAGAACTCGAATGCATCTAGTTAATTTAGCTTTACGATTCCACAAGCAGAAAATGCAGGAAGAAGTCCAATGTTTACGCAGAGTCAGGTAAACAAGTAGCTGCTGCGAGCAGAAGAGAAATCTTAGTGTCATGTCCTTTGCCAATGCAAGTTACCCCATGACTCCTCTCCCCCCAGCCCTGGCCCATTTTAAGGGCAGCTGCTGGACTTTGCTAGACGTGAATCAGTTCTACTCACACTTTCTGAGGACACGTAACCTGTGAGCTAGGTGCAAGTTACCTTAGAAGAACTGCCATGCAATGTGCATGAGAAATCAGCATTATGCAGGGTGGCAAGCACTTCCTACCACAACACCTACAATCTGTGGCAATGGACGTGTGTTAGCATGTTAAAAAGTAATACTCCACAGTTAAAATGTAATTTTCCATAGGAAAAAAATGTTCCCTGTACCTAGGAGCAAGTCTAGGGAGTACGAAAGTGATCTAAGCAGATGCAAACAATTGTAGCCACAAACTATCAAAAAGAAATCTCAAATTAAAAAAACAAAATTAAAAAAAAATCTTAATTCCCAACAGTAGACAAGCCACCTGCTGAAAGAGTAAAACCTATGTTTAAAATATTACACACTGTTACTACTCAGCTAATAAAAAAAATGAAAACAACAAAAAACCCCAGTCAAACTTTACAAACAGGATACAGATTTCCTTTTGCAATAAGGATATAGGATAAAAAGTTATGGAATACACTGCAGTATGTTTGCAGGGAGGTTGTCCTTCCCCTCCACACGGTGTCTTCACTCCCACCAGCTCGTTTTGAGCTTGTCTTCCAGATGTGCTCTTTGCTTGTAGAAAGAGAACTTTCTTCTGTCTGTACAGAATATGACACCCAGGAAGCAGGTAAGAGCTCAAACTTCTTGCTGATCCATTTCTTTTGTCGCCTATTCCACCTCACTAAGCCAGTTACAGATGTCACGTGAGTTCAAGAAGTTTCTATCTCAGAGGCCTCTTCTATGAAGTTAGCAACAGGACTGAGGAGCAAAAGCGGAAACAGTTTATACTCTCCATTGCCATCTTCCGAGAGGAGAGGTGGATCACCCATTCCCAGAGCATCCAGAGGCTCAGCCTGGCTTGCTGGAGCTGCTAGCGGCACGACAGTTTCACTGCCTGAGGGAGGATGAAGCGCAGGTTTCTCCTCCAGGGTGGGCAGCAGCAGGTCTTTCGGATCCTCCGTCTTCCCTGCGGCCTCACTTGAAGGTAGTTCTTCAAACAACGAAAGCAGAGGATTTGCCCTGTACTGTATCAGCTGCATATCTGAGGGAAAACAAACAGTTTAAACTCCAGGCTCCTGTGTCATCTAAGTGAAGGCTCTTATTCAAGACAAGGAAAACCGGAGAGACTGCTTCAAAACTCGGTTCACTAAAGAAAATCCCAGAGCTGAGCTCTGACAAACTACATCCACAGCTGTGAGGGGAGCGAAGGCTCCCGGGTCTGTCAGAGCAGTATCTGAAGCACACTTTGAGCCCCTAAAACATGCGGCATGCAACGGCAGCACTGTAGGAGGAAAATGAGGAGCAGTGCGTTTGCAGGGTCGTAGCCCATACAGAGGCACTTCCACAAGCACATCTGCAGTTCTGCTCCCTCCTGTGACACTCGGTCACGTGTAAGAAAAAGTGAGAACAGTTAAGACTTAAGACTGGCCCCTTAAGACTGAGGCACAGATTCATCGAGATCATTGAAACATTCCAGTCTTCACAAAAATTTTAAGCCCAGACGAAAAGGAGGAGACAAACCATACTACAGGCTATAAAATTTCTACTTCAACACACAGTTTTGGAAGAGTTTGAAACTGTCACAGTTCTCAGTGTTCCTGCCCACCTTTGCTTCCTGCTGTTTCTCTCTCACTCACTCCCAGATCTTCAGTGCTCTCTGCCAAGTTTTCAATCTGAAGCAGAGTGGACAAAGACAGAATGCTTAACAACATCCAAGCCTTCACGGACTGTCACACGTGAGGGCCAACAACAGAAGCTCTCAGAAGGAGGCACAGGGAAATACAGACAAACTTCACTTACTAAAGCCAAACAAGCTTCTGACTACAAGTGTTTATTTTACCTTCAAAACCAGAAGCTTGATTATAGACTGTATTGTTGGAATAACACCGTCAAACCCGATTTCATCAATACAATTAAATTCTGCAAGCACTGCTTGAACACAGCTGGTTTTCTCCTCAGTTGTGGTCTAAGATCTTATGAATGGGAAGTCATAGTTTAAATATAATCTCATGACTACGAAATAAATTACACCTTCAAGTTGGGTGGAGTTTTTTTTTTTTTTTAACCATGAATCAATTTTAGGAACTGAAACAAGAGAAGTAAATTTGCACTGAACTTTATGTCCTCTGAGAAAATTCCATACATCCATGTTCAGAATAAATACTGTATATTGCATCGAATATTTCATTTAGTGCTTTTCCTTCAGTCTTCAGACAGACTGAAGACACACAATCCCATGTGAACTACAACCCAAGACCTAGTTATCACTTAGCTAAAAGACACCATGGAAACCCCTGAGGCTAGGAGAAACAAGCCAAGGAACTGTTCTCACACACTTAGCCCAAAAAAAGACAATTGTCTACGTTCCTCATTCTAAATGGAAGGTGCAGAAGTCATAGGTAGGAACAAAACTTCTCACTACAGACAGCTGATTCATCAGACAGCAGTTTGTTTCCCTCTTCCTTACGTTCTTGGGAGTAGTCAGAAAGCAAAGATGTTCTTCAAAGCAAAGTGACAGTTTAAATCAGGCCTAGATAAAACACCAGTTTCCTCCTGTGCTGCTCTCAAACAGAATCAGTCCAAATTTAACTCTCAACACTGTATTAACTCTCCCCATCGTGGAAGCAACTCTTACATTCTCCATATCAGGGGAAGTTTCCATCAAGCTCATATCCAGGGCTGGCAGCTCAGGATTAAATGTCTGAAAATAAAAACAGATCAAACATCATATAAAGGTTCTTAAGACTTCAGAGAGCTCCTGAAAGGACAGCAGGATTCAGCACACCACCCACTCAAGCCCAGGGAACGTGGCTCCTCCACAGGCCTACAGCAATATACTTTCAACCTGTGACAGTAAACTGAGGAGAAGAAAAAGGACACCATTTTCCCCAGTGATTCCAGATATATGGCCGAGTTTCATTCCATATCATAATGCATAATCAAACACATAATCGTGATGTGAAGTTAAAGGCTTGAGAAGAGAGTAAAATTCTTTCCTTCAGCCCACCCTTGAGTTCTGTATAACAGAAATACTGGGTGAACTGAAAAAGGCTCTCAGTGTTACCTAGAATGACTACATATCCCGCTATCCATAACTAATTGCTTTTCACGATTTTCCCTCCCTCTTGGCCATTTCAACATGGAGTAAGCCAGTCAAATTTCATAATGCAACCTAATCAGTGTTTTTCAGAAATCAGAAAAAGCCAAAGGACACTCACATCGCTGAAAGCTTCAGAACCGAAGTTATACTGCTTCCCAGATAACATTGCTTGAAGCTCTTCAAGGCTGGCATCAATGCAATTCAGAAAATCCTGAATTTCTTCTCTAAAAAAGACAAAATGATGCAGTGCTGTAAAAAACAGTCGGCAGTTTGGGCCTTCCTTTGCACCACAAGGCAGGAAAAACTCTGAGGAATGACCTGCTAGGCACTCAGTTATTACAGCTGCGGTGCGAGGGGAGAGCTAGACTGGGTCACTCAGAACCCAGAATAGCTTCTTGCCAAATGAATGAAACCACATTCCTGTATCGCTTTTCACGGTCCAACTCTCTGAAGGACAAGGAAGACCATCTGAACCACAAGTATAATAATAGCTATCCTAAAAAAAAAGTTCTTCCTTTCATACCTCCTTCAGTTTACTATCTTTGGAATGTTCTCAGATCCCAGCCTGAATACCAGTATCTGTTTAAACTCAGGTCTGATGGCTTTCACCTGGGGGCAATACATGATGAGCAAAGGGCTGGAAATAATCTGGACCTAACGATACTCCCTATTCTGAAACATCAGACTGTTGGCAAATTGTACACAACTCCAAGGACAGTGGGCAGGATACAAAGGACAGTGAATGAAGGGGAAAGGAAGGTGCATGCACCGTGCCAGTACTGAGCTTCTCACCGTGCTGCTGGAATACTCCAGTGCCAAGGCATCGCCCCCCACTTCGCAGTGCCAATGAGGTAAGATATGACAGGGCCTTCAGATTAGATGGAGAGGTGTCACACACCATCTCAGCCTACCTACCTGGAGCCAGAGAAAGCCGAAGAGACATCAGGAGAAAGGACTAAAGTTTATTCCTTGATCCAGCTCACTGCGTCCTGGGTTTGGCTGGTATAGAGTCAGTTTTCACAAGAGGCTGGGGGAGACACAGCCAGGATAGCAACTGAACTGGCTAAGGGGATGTTTGATACCACATGACATCATGTTCAGGATGTAACTGGGGGAGCTGGCCGGGGGGAGGAGGGATCTTGGGTCCGGAGCAGACTGGGTATTGGGTACCAGGTGGTGAGCAATTGTGTTGTGTATCACTTGTTTTATGTGCAGTTCACCCTGAGATCTGCCCCAAGGCTGGACAGTCACGGGTGGCATGGCATGTGGGAGAATATGGGCAGCTACCTAGAGAACTTCTCACCTCCAATGGTTTGGAACTTCACTCCCAAACAACTACAGGACCCTGATGAAGTGATAGAATACTTGAAATGCAAATGCTGTGGCTATCCCAAAGAGGCACAACTTACCACACTGTGCTCGGCCCTGGCCAGTATCTACCAAACACTGCTTGGTATTATGCAGCACCCACGGAGGGAAGGAAGGGAAAACAGACCAAGAGGCACTGCTGCGGCTATTCCAACCCTTGTTGGAAAATTCAGTTCATCAACAACATTTAAAAACCTAATTCACTTCGTTCTGGTAAACACATCCTCTAAAACTCTGACAAGATCCCACAAGATGACGACAGCATAGCAGTTTCCAGAATCATGTTTAATACCTGTCCAGTAAAGGATCATTTTGGTTTCCAGAGTTGTTCTCATTCAAGATGGAGTCAATCATTGACACGGGGTCTTCCGGAGCGTTAGGTTGTGCAGTGTGGCGTTCCACAGCAACATTTCCTATTTCACTGGATTTGTTTACGTCATTTAGATGAACTGGTGGGATAGGTTCTGCACAATTTAACTCATTTGCCTGCGATACTTGACAAATAGGTAAGTCAGGATCCAGAGCTGCCTGTGTCTCTCTAAAATATGACCAAAAAAGAAACAACACACAGGAGAATTCATCAATTGTATGACTCATTTCAAGTTTAGTACCTCAAATTTTAATACCCAATACGGCTAAGCTAGTCAAGGGTTCAAACAACCAACTGTTTTTTTTCTAAAGAAGAAAAGAGCTTTCCTAAAGGCAGATGAAGAGTCTCTTATTACAGTTTATACAGATAGGAGTATAAGAGCAAAACACCCCATTTTGCCAGGCCAAAACATGGCAAAATAGTATATGGAAATTAAGGAGTTGGGAAACGCCTACATCGTGTCTCTGGAAATAAAAGATTCCAAACTGGCCCATATTTCACGCTGGATGTTAACAACCAAATGGGTTTTCACAAGAATCTGATGCCACACACACGAGTGCCGTGCCTTCCCTTCAGTTATGCTTAGCGTAATATTAGTGAGAGCAGTACTGAAACTGGAGATAGAATGATACATCTTGTTTATTAGTAACCTATATACATTTTGGATTGTTCATTAGTAACCTGTATGTGCATTCAGGTCCCTCTTCAGTTGAAAAGTTAAGTATGTGCTTATTTGTTGAACAGACAGAAAAGCCTCGGTAAATTAAACTTCAAGCACCAAGCAGGCTGCTAGGCCTTTGGGCACTCCTGATGAGACACGAGCTCTTAAACAGCTTTGCTGACTAGGACTAATGCTACATGCTGTAAAAGACAGCCTACGAACAGGTTGTCATGCACAAAGACAGTAATAATTCAGAGAGGCTGTTTCCCAGAATACAAATGGATCATTTACACTAACACCTGGTTAACAACCGAAGCATAAATACTTCCACATCCTTGAAACGTACCCAGCTCTGCCACTTGTGTGTGCCACAGCAAGGAGACCATCGGTGGTGGCATTTTCCAGGGTATCAGTAATATCTCGAATGATGAGACCTCTGCCGTTTCTCTCCTCATCATCTGCATTATGTTCGGAAAAGGCCACCTGCAGGATACAGCAAATAGAATGAGTAAACCAATAGGTCTGATTTTTTTATTTTTTTAAATGTTGGAGCTCCATTCTTCTTGCAGCTTCTCCTTCCTGTTCAGTTTTTATCTTTTGACTGGTTGTGCTGATTTGCATAATTCTACAGACAGAGCAATGCTTTACAGATGCCCATTTCAAAACGGAGTGCAGCGGATTATAAGGTATTCATGGTTATAAGGAAGACTTAGAGATGACTCTATAGCAGCCTC